AACTTTACGTCTGTGTAGTTCTGGTTAGATGAGGTGTGTGGGGCGGGGAGGAAATAGAAAAAGTCCTTTGTAAGTCCAGTAAGCTGGGTGCCAGGACTCCCTCAGGAACACCAAGCTGACAGGTAACACAGCAATAAAAGCTGGGCAGCCCTGCATCCTGTAGTGCATGCAGGGACAGGGGGGTTGAACTGAATGGATTCCTTCCCCAGGAGTTTTGCCCCAGGAGGTGCAACTGCACCCAATACAGTATCTTGCAGGGGGAGCAAACAGGGAACTAGAAACATCCTCTAGAAAACGTGTGCTGCTGTGGTGGTGCAGCTGTTATACAATGATCCTTCCCCTCAGTGCAGCAGTCCTGCTGTAGCCCCATACACTGAGCACAGGGCTACTTAGCATCTATGGCTGGGTGACATGGTGCTGTGCCTGGCATAACATGGTGCTATGCCTGGGTGGTGGGGGTGAAGCAGATGAAATTCTAGTGCCCTCTCTGAGTCAGTGCCCATGTCGGGTGCCCTGCCCTAGTTATGTTATTGCTGTGGGGTAGTGAAAAGAGCCATTCTCTTACTCAGTTATAAGGTCTGATCCTGTAGCCACTACTCTCATGAGTAACTATGACTCTTATGAATAATACAATTGACATTAGCAATGTTGATTAGACCCTGAACAACAGTAATAATTAAAACAGCAATATTAACTAAGAGATGGCACACAGTTACTAGAATTCCCTCTTCTAGGTATAAAGAAAAGCAGGGAAACCTCAGTTTAGCCCTGCATGATACCTGTTGGCTAAACAAAAGCTGTTTTTAAAATTGTCCACTTTACATACAATTAAACTACAGATTGTAATTATTAATGCATATAGATTATAATGATATTCTTTTATTGGTAGTGTAAGGGGTTTATGCAAAGTATGTATTGTTGTGTGTGTATATATATAGAGAGAGAGAGAGAGAGACAGATATAGATATATTTTCACTGTGTGGAGTAGCAAATATGCTATCCTATCTCCTTTTTCAGTGCATCACATATGGTTTTCTTCCTTTTTTATCTACTTAGGTGACCTCTTAGTAAGTCCAGATCAGCCAAAATATACCATTCCAATAGCTCAGATTGCTCCTGACCTGATATTGGCTGATTTGCCTCGGAATATCATGTTGAACAATGATGAATTGGAATTTGACCAAGCTCCTGAATTTCTTTTGGGTAAATATACGTTTTAGCCTCTGCCTAATGTATGGCAACTTTGTACAAGTTACAGGATTAAATTTTAAAATAAACTGAAGACATTTTTAATGCTTTTCCTCTTGTAAAAATCTGTTGTTTATTCTACTAAAATATGACCAAATTGCAGGTTTATTTCATAGTTTTTAAATCCCAATAATATGCATCTAAGGGCTGATTTTGCAGAACACCCTGCTGGCACACTAGTTTATGCTTTTTTTAAAAATCAGACTCTTGTCAAATTGGGAAGATTTGCTATAACATTTTTAATTCTCCCTTTTATTTTATTCTTGAAAAGGTGACGGTGGGTTTGGATCTGTGTACCGTGCATCTTACGGTGGAGAAGAAGTAGCCGTAAAGATTTTTAATAAGCATACTTCACTCCGGCTCTTAAGACAAGTAAGACATTTTCTCCTTTTCTTAATAATGCAACCAACATAGTGAACCATTTGGCAACATTTAAAAACAACTTCAAGTTTAATTTTGAATTTTCTTGCATGTATCACTGCAGAACTATAAATATTATATAATATGTGCAGGATTTCACTTGATTTTACATTTTACAGGAGCTGGCTGTGCTTTGTCACCTCCATCACCCAAGCTTGGTGTCTTTGCTGGCTGCAGCAATCCGTCCCAGGATGTTGGTAATGGAATTAGCCCTAAAGGGTTCTCTAGATCGTTTGCTTCAGCAAGATAATGCAACCTTAACCAGAACACTTCAGCACAGGATAGCTCTACACGTAGCCGATGGCTTACGGTAAACAGTCCTAAAATGCTCTTTTTAGTATGGAAAGATGTCGTTGGCCTGAAATTAGGAAAACTTTCTCCTTTCTCTTCCTTACCTTTTCCTCTATAGAAGGCAGGGTGCTTCCCTCAGTTAAAAAAGTTGCTATGCTTTCACTTTTGAATAATTTAATAAGAAAAATATTATTTCTGTGGATTCTTGAACCATCATAAAATTCACTGAACCTCTATTAGGTTATTTAGGATTGTTCAAAAACAACAGGAAGGATATCATTTTCTATTAAATTCATTAGACAACTATCCATAACGGATTTATTGGTATGGAGGACAAAAAGAATATTCTGTCAAAGGCATTTAGTGGTTTTATAATTTGAGCATCTTGTGACATTTCTAACTGGTATTCTCAAGATTTTAATAAACTATAAGTCCAAATATCACATGTTCTTAATGTGCATTATGAGTGGCCTGAAGGAGAAAATGTCAAGAAGTCTAAAAAAGAGAAGTGCAGCAGATATTATTTGTTTTACTGTTTTTTGAGGAAGGAATGAACGCACACGTAGAAAGCACGAAGTGATGTTTTACCAACAGAGCCAGGAACCAGAACACCGCTTGCAGTCTTTCGTTTTGTATTTGGTCGCTTCCCTGTTTTTACTTCTTTGTTGTATGTGTGTTCTAAGTTCAGAAAGGAGTTTGCTCAAATTCTTGACCTTGCCATGTGGCTGTGCAGCCCATTAAAAACATTAGATCATGTTCATTTGGCCCGTTTTTTCAAATCTGTAAATGTGGAATTGTGATTCTAAAACCACATCTGGCACCCGCTGTTGGGGCTACTGTAGATTAAGTGACTTTAATGCTTTTTAATAGACATCTTTCAGGAGGTCTCTTGAACTACAATACCAAATTATTTGTATACTGGTAACTGGTATGTTCTTTGAATAATTCCAAACCCACAATCCATCAAAATGATGCCATCTAGACTCACTAGGGGGGACCAGAAGGGTTTGGGGGAGACGCTGTTTCCCCTAGCGCCCGCTGGCATAACAAGGAGTAATGGGCACAAGTTGATGGAGAGGAGGTATAGATTGGACATCCGCAAAAACTACTTCACAGTTAGGGCGGCTAGGAGCTGGAACCAACTTCCAAGGGAAGTGGTGCTGGCCCCTACCCTGGGGGTCTTTAAGAAGAGGCTGGATGCCTACCTGGCTGGACTCATTTGAGTCCTGTTTCTTGTTTTGGGGTTTTTGTTGTTCTCCCGCCCTGGCAGGGGGTCAGGCTAGATGATCTACTAGGTCCCTTCCGACCCTTAATCTATGAAACTATGAAACTATGAAATGTGACCTACTGATATCAGAATGGTGAATATTTAAAAGCCTTGTTTACTATAGTACTTTTGATGCATTCTGTGTATACAGGGTGGCACCAGCCTCTTCCAGGGGGGAGGAAGTGGAGGGGGGGCGCTGAGCCTCTGCAGTTGAGAGTGGGGTGGGCTCCACTACACAGGGTGGGTGGCAGTGGCCTGGGGGCGGTAGGGCTGGGGTGGAACTGGCAGGGGTGGCTACAGGGGGGCTAAGGCACATTTTGGGGTGGCTGTAGCCCCCCCCCAGCCACCTCTTTGTGTATATATGTAATATATACAGATTTTGAATGCTTTCTATGTGTTGACAGGTATCTGCACTCAGCAATGATCATTTACCGTGATTTAAAACCTCACAATGTGCTGCTCTTCACATTGTACCCCAATGCAGCAGTTATTGCCAAGATTGCTGATTATGGCATTGCTCAGTATTGTTGCAGAATGGGAATAAAAACTTCTGAAGGCACACCAGGTATAGAAAAAGTGTCCTTGTGAACTTTTGGCCTAAATAGTAATGCAAGTAAGCTGCAGCCTGCATCCCTGCAAACTTTAACACCTGTCCCAAGCCTGCTTCCAATTTTTTCCTTTTACAGGACTTTAATGATACAAGAGCACAAATTGAACTATTTTACTGATTTTCATTTTTTCCTCCGTATAAATGTTTGATCTGAACATGCGTTCATTTTTCATGATTTTGGATTTTTTATCATAGAAAATCAGAGCTCCCATTCCCCCTTTTGTTTCCCAGGTTGCAAGTTCAGCTTCGGATGTCCCCCCTGCTGCTTTGCAGTGCAGGACAGTGCTGATATGCCAATGCCCTGTCCCTGCCCATACCATTGCCCTTCACTCCCAAGCCACCGCCCCCCAGCCCTGCTGGTGCCCCTCACTCTCAACCTGCTGGCCCCTGGTCCTACCAGTGATCCTCACTCCCAACCTGCAGGCCTCTGGTCCTGCCAGTGATCCTCACTCCCAACCCACAGTCCACCACCCCCCAGCCCTGCTGCCCATTACTCCTGACCTGTTATCCTCTGCCCCACCCCCAGCCCTGCTGGAGGGGGTACCCAGCTGCCAGGGCTACAGGACCTGGCAGCTGCATCTTGCCTGGTCCTTGCTCCACAGGTGCCAGCCACAGCTGGTCAGCAGTGCTCAAGCCCTGACTGCCACTTATGGGAGGCAGTTCCTGCTGCAGCCAGAGGAGCAACAGAGCGTGGAGCCCAGGCCTCGCCTCCACTCTCCCTTCCCACTGGTGGCACTGCCAGAGTGGAGCCAAGCGGAGCCCATAGGGGGCAGGGGAAGATGCACTGCAGGGCTCAGGGCTCCTGTCCCTGTGGGGACCTCCACAGCCCAGCGGGCAGGACCTGGCATGGGAGGGTGGGGCAGGGCAGGGAAGTTGGTACCACCACTGCTGCCTCCAGAAGCCCCATGCTGGCCATACCGCCATGATGAAGCACCCTCTGCCTGCCTGGCAGCAGTGAAGGCGGCAGCAAATAATTGTACCCCGTGCTGCTGCCAGGAGGGCAGGGGGCACCTTGTCTTGGTGGTGCAGCTGGCATGGGGCTCCCAGTGTCAGTGGTGGCAGCAACACCAAGGGTCTCTGCCATCCTGCTCTGAGTCCTACCTGCTGGGCCACAGAGGTGGGCAAGCTGCAGCCCCATACCTCCCTCTGGGCACACAAATTTGAGGAGGCACATGCCTCCCCAATGAGTCACCTCTGGCATTCAACCTGTCCCCAGGTGTGAGCACAGAGGCGGGGAGCTGGCCCCCCTGCCACCTCCCAAATGAGCCACCAATGGTTCTATCTCGCTCCCCAGCTGGGCCACACAGCCACACATTCCCTTCTGAGCCCTGGGCACCACCCCAGCTAGGCAGCACCCCCAGCCCCTCCTGCCAAGCTGCCCCACTCCCTCCCTCACTGTGGCTGCCTCAATCCACACTCCCACTTCCCCTGTGTTGCCTATGCCCTTCCCTGTCCCCCATGTGTCACCTATAGGCCCCCCTTAGACTAACCTGCAGGCAGCTGGGGGAGCTGCTCTCCACTGCTGCCTGGCTTTGTTGCTGGCCATGTGCATGTGTGCACATAAACACACACAGTGCCCGCTAGATCCCATTCCACCTATTCCCAAGCAGGCTGGACCTCTACTTTTAAAAGAGAAAAATCTGTGTTTTTCCACAGCAAATGTAAAACCCAAGTTCCTGGATATTACTAAAATGAAAATTGTTAATAAAATATATACCATATTTATTTGAGTATAAGGCAGCACTGATTATAAGATGACCCCCAACAGTTAGATTCTATATATGGAAAATGTATAAATTTGTTATAATTTTCCAGGTGTAGAATCTAATTATTGGAGGTTTGCCTTGAATTTGTCCCTCTCCCACTGCCACAGCAGGAAGATAAATTTGGGGGTCAGGTAGCCCCCTCACCCTCTGTTCCCCAACTTTTCCTCTATAGCCCTTTCTTTATTGTCAGACTGCTCTCCCTGAGCCCCTGAACACATGGATGTGAGAAGCAAATTTGAAAACAGTGACCTAGAAATAAACATACCTACAGTCACTTGCATATTGGGCAATTACCGTAGGTACCCATAGACTTCATTCATTCAGAATTGATGCAATTTACCTCTTTTGAAACTGCAGCTAGTTTTAGCCCAGGTATCCATAAACATACTTTTAAGTAGAACTTCTTTACCTGCTTGTATATATTACAATTATTGTTTTAAAAAATTAATTTCCAGGGCCAAATCCATTCCAAATTAAGTTCCAAATTGTACTCAGCAGAGCTCAATCATTCAAGTCTGCATGGTGCTACCACCGCCAAGTAATGGCACTACCACCACCTAGTCTCACTTGCCCCTAGCCAAAGGCTGAAAGAACAAGTTAGGAGGAGAGCCTGAGAGCAATGCCGCATCACCAAAAATTACAATTTTTTTTTTAAATGTTGTTTCTCAGGCCAAATCAGTTCCAAAATCTGTTGACTGCGCAGAGTTCAATCATTCAAGTCTGTCTGCTGCTATCACCACCTGGTATCCTACCTACCAGACTCTTCAGCCTGGGGCTTCAGATATTCCCAAATCCATGGCAGGGACCCTACATGCAAGCCCCAAGCCCTGGTGTTCAGATGCCCCCTAGTCTCACTTGCCCCTAGCGAGAAAGCTAAAGGAACAAGCTAAAGGGATTTTTTTCCCCCAAAGCCAAGACTCATGAATTACCATATAGCTCATTGGACTGGGCCTAAGCAGAGACAACACCATTTCAAGTCATGGTAATCCCACAGCTCAGCACTGTTCAGTATGTGTGTGTGTATACTTCAGATATCCCCCACAAAGGATCCATGTGCTAATTAACCCTTATTCATGACTGGAACCAGATGTTCTTGTCATGAGTCCTGGAGTCCTCCAAAAACTGATGTGCAGATGAGGTGCAGAATAGCATTTCCACTTCATGGAAGGTAGAGCCACACTAATCATATGCACCAGGCTGAGAGTGGAGGGCAGCAGAGGGATTCTGGGTAAACTGTTTTGCACCCCGTTCAGTGATGTTTGCCAAACATTTAAGGCTGGTAAAAAAAACGGGAATCATTGGAAATGGGAAAGAAAAGCACAACTCAGCTGTGGGAGTGAAGAGGAAATTGAAAAATATGCAATGTAGTAGCTTCATGACTTCAAAAAGAGCACTGAGGGTGACTGAATGCAAAGGGCTGTGCCAGATGGGTTACACTGTCATCAACAGGTTTTCCAGGGTGAGGCCTGTCCCTTGCACTAATGCAGGGAACTTGACTGCACAATTTTGTGGTAACGGGGACTGCGTTTGCACTTTCTCCCCCTGGCTTGCTCCTTTACCCTTTAAGCTAGGAGCAAGTGTGATTTGGGGGTATCTGAACTCCATACTTTTGGGCTTGGGGCCTGCACATAGGATGCCTGCCATGGATTTGGGGAATATCCAAAGTCCCAGATTGATAAGTCTGGGAGGGAGGAGACTTACCCAGTGGTAGAGCCACACAGACTTGAACAATTGAGCTCAGCTCAGTTGATTTGGAATTCAGAACTAATTCAGCCTTAAACCAAAAAAGGGGGGTAGGTTCCCATCAGTATGTTTGCCATGTGTTTTACAGTCATGCTCAATATTGGCTGCATTTAATCAGTTTTATAGTTGGTTTCCATTACTGAGCATGTGCTGCTTTTGGCAGCAGTCAAATGATAGATTTGTTTGTGAATGTAAGCCAGGGGGCTCCCCCATGTTGATTGGTGGGGAAACCTCATCTTATATTCAAGTAAATATGGTAGTTGTTTTTTAACAGTCAATAATGTGAACTTAGGATCCTGACTTTTCAGAGATACTGAGCACTCACTCATTTTAACTGGACTGTATTTTACGTAAATATATAGGCCCCTTTGTGCTGGTTGAGAAGTGAAAAGTATCCTTAGCATAAGTGGGAATCAGGCCCCCAACTTAAACTTGAGGGCATGACATCAGTCGCCACATATCAAGCCCTGAGTTAGGACTTCCAGACTTCCCCTTCTTTTTCAGCATTAATCTAATAGTACAGGAGCTTACTAGCTGCCTTACAGCTTAGTGCATTTGTACTGTCCTGGTATCTTCTGTGACTTTCAGCATGTGGACCACTGCCAGTTCTGAAATAGCATGTAATTTTCAGTTAGCTTCTTGTGACATTTTTCATCAAGAAGTATTTGTTCTTAAAAGGACAGACAGGACTGTAGCCAGGCATGGATCATAACTATTAATGAATGATTCATTTTTCAGGATTCCGAGCACCGGAGGTTGCCAGAGGAAATGTTATTTACAATCAGCAAGCTGATGTTTATTCATTTGGCTTGCTTCTTTATGACATTTTAACAGCAGGCGGTAGAATAATGGAAGGCATGAAGTTTCCAAATGAATTTGATGAGTTAGCAATCCAGGGAAAATTACCAGGTATGTCATGTTTCTTCATGGTTTAGTGCCAGAAAATAGAGATTGCCATCCTGACTCAAATGGAACCCATGCATTGAATGTTGTCTCTGTTGCTGGTCTTCAGTGGATGATGCAATGCAACAGTGAGAAGTTTTTTAAATATTTTAATAATTATTTGCAGTTTTCAACAGCTGTAGGCTTGGAGACATTGTCCCACATCATCCCTACTGTTGGAGATAAAACAGGGATCAGGTTGGTTCATTGTGTAAAGAAAACGAGGATTATGTACGCTTGTCATTAAATTAGACCAGGTGAATCGAAGAACTGTAGTCTGCACCTTTCTACACCAGGTCAATATTTGACCTTTTGTTTTTGTTATGATGCTGCTTTTTATGTATCTGAAGTAAAAGTCTAAAGAAATGTTTTGTATTATGAGCATGATGCACAAAAAAAAAAAGAGAAGCAAAAATGGGAAGATGTTTATAAAATTTTAAAATCTTAGGGTATGTGTAGATGAAACAGGGGCCCTAAATTGAAGTGGTGGGTTTTAAAAAACACCGCTTCAATTTAGGGCTGATTAAATCCCCATGTCATGCAAACACCCCGCTGACTTACCCGCCTCTCTGGTGGGAGAGGGGAGGGGGACCTGCCAGCTGGCGGAGCGGTCCCTGGGCTGTGGGGGGTGGTGGTGCTTCCCTCTATGGCAGCAGCAGTGCTCCCCAGGCGGCACCTGCCCACAGGCAGGAGATCAGGCTCTCCACTTTTCTTGGGCAGAGCCTGCTTTCCCGAGCTGCTGCCAGGTTGCCTGCAGGGCTTTCTGCAGTTCCTGCAGAACTTGAAGGAGTTATAGTATGCTGGCACCCCAAGTCATTTAAGGCACATTATGCTGCCGAATTTCCTACAGCAACTGGAATTAATGCGCAGTATGCTGCCAAGGTGTACAAACACCGACACCACTAAAGCAGAGCAAAAGCATTTAGCCCACTTTAAAATGTCATGCACACACATCTCGTTTCATCTACACACAGCCTTAGTGTCATCCTCTGGCAAGGAGTCAAGTCTAGACAATAAGAATAGGAATCCATATTCACTGAGGAAAGTTTTGGCTGCTGTGGAAGACTGTGCCACTTTCTTAGAAAGGATCCCTGCCTATCTTTCCCTATCTAATTGTCACACTCTGTAAAAAAGACTACACAGACTGAGCTAGAATCAGTTGGACAGCATGCTGTTTCTAGAGAGAGCAACTGGCATGCCTTGTAAAGAACTAGCTCTGCTTATTAGGGACGGGTACTAGTAGCTTGAAAGACCATGGATTGTTCTTGGCAAAATACTGCAATAGGTTGCCACTTCTTGCTGCAGCTTGCAGTACTCGGCTAACTTGAGCAGATCTCCTCTGTTGTTGTCCCAGTTGCACCAGGCATCCATCAGATGAGATGATCCATTGCCTGCGACCCCAGTGGCTTCAACCGTAACCCTGGTAGGGGAGGCTGATGGGTACAACACCTTGCCTTAAGGGTGACCCAGAGACTGCAGTAGCTAGAGAGTACTTGTCTCACTATTACCCTAACAGTTAAAACTGGCCTGCTGCTGGAAGCATTTGAACATCATACCTGTTGTCTTTCAAGAATTAAGAAAATCACACAATGGCATGAAGGGGGTCCCTGATAAAAAAAAAAAAAAAAAAGGTGAGAACACTTTGCCCAGTAAGGATAGTCATGTGTGACCGTCAGAGAACAGCCAAAGTGGCAACGTGGAATGTGAAGACTCTACATCAAATTGGGAAATTGGATAATGTCAAGCATGAAAGATCAATATTCTAAGTCTGTGTGAAACACATTGGAAAGAGACTGGAATTACTGTTCGAGGAGATGTGAAGATCATCTATTCAGGAGGTCAGATACATGAAAGAGGAGTTGGGTTGATTTTGGATGAAGAAACCTCAAAATGTTTGAATGGTTTTGGGACAATATCTGATAGAGAGTGATGCTTGTGAAAATAAAGGCTAATCCTTTCAACATTGCAAGTCTATGCACCAACAACTGAAAGTAGTTTCTAGGAAGACCTTGATAAAGCAAAAAAGCAATGTAAACCTCAAGAAATGGTCATAGTGATGGGAGATCTAAATGTGAAAGTTGGGTGTGAATGAGTGGATAATATTGTTGGACCCTATGGACTTGGAGAAAAAAATGAAAGAGAAGAGAGATTGATTGATTGGTGTGTTGCAAATGATTGAGCCATTATGAACACGTGGTTTGAACGCCACCCGAAAAGAGGGTTATACATGGAAAAGTCCTGGAGATAATGTTAGAAACCAAATTGATTACATCACCATCAACAAAAGATTCAGGAATGCAGTTCAACAATCAAAAACTTTTCCAGGACCTGACTGTGGAAGTGATCATGTACCTGTAGTATGCATCATCAAGATAAGGTTGAGGAAATGTAAGAAACCAAAAGCAACAAAGAAGCTGGATTATTCAATTCTAATGGGAAAAGGTCTGATTAAAGAAAGGTACACAGTTGCAGTTAAAAAACATTTTCAGAAACTTGAAGGTGAAGGAAATATGTCAAACTGGGAAATTTTCAAAGCAGCACTAGGTGAAACAGCCAAGGAAATTATTCCATCAAAAGTGTAAGGCAAAAGAAACAGAAATGGATGACTGAAGAAATCCTTGAACTTATAGAAGAAAGATGAAAATGCATAGTTTGGAAAAGTAAAGAGACTGGACAAAAAAAATTGATCAATGTGCAATGGAGAAAAGGAAAATGGCATAATGAAAAATGTACAGAGATAGAAAAACAAAAGGATAAAAATGTTACATCAGTGTATAGGAATATCAAGGACATCACAGACCAAGAAGGATGTACTGCTAGGGGATGTATAAAAGCCAGGAATGGTGATGTAATTATGGAACAAGAACAAATATTGAAATGAAGGACTGAGTATATTGAAGAGTTATTCCATGACAGTCAAGAAGAAAAGCCATCTGTTACAATGAACATGGATGGTTTGAAAATTAAGTCAGACATATGAAGTTATCAAGTAAATGATAACCAGTAAAGCTACAGGACCAGATGAGATTGCAGTAAAACAAAAAAAAATGTTTGGATGAGTTTGGTATAGAAAAGTTAACAACTGATATTAGTGAGACTTATGAAAGTGGGAAAAAATGCCTGAAGACCTCAGTAAATCTTTATTGCCCCCCCCCCCCCCCGACCTGGAGCCATTGAATGTGAACTCCATTGAATTGAAGCCATCTGACAAAGATCCTATTAAAGGTGCTGATAATGAAAGCTAGAAGCAGAATAAGAAGGGAGATTGCAAAAGTTCAGTGTGGTTTTGCTGAAGATTAAGGTACAAGAAATGCTATTTTCATGGTATGAATGCTTTCAGATAGGTCAATAGAAATGAGGAAAAACCTTTTTCCTATGTTTTATTGATTACACCAAAGCTTGTTATAGTCAAGCATGAAGAGTTAATTAAAAATGCTAGAAGAACTGGATATTGATGGTAAAGAGCTGAGAATTTTAAGAAACATCTATTGGGACCAAACTGCAGCAGTGAAGACAGAAAATTAACTAAGTGATTTCATCCAAATTAAGAGAGGCATGAGGCAAGGCTGTGTTTTTTCACTTGACTTGTTCAACTTGTACAGTGAGAAAATACTGAGGGAGATTGATGATTTACCAGGGCTGATCATTGGCAGACAGAATTTGAACAACTTGCATTATGCTGATGACACAATAGCTGATTGTGAAGAGAAGTTGCAAGGAATTTTAGGTAAAATTGTTAGTGAAAGCAAAAAGAAGAGTTTAAGTATCAACTGTAGAAAAACAGAATGCATGGTAATTACAAAGAAGATCATTTCTGTATACAACATCATTTTGGAAAAAGAACAGATAAGCCAGATTAATAAATTTAACTACTTGGGAAGCTGGATAACATCAGGTGGCAAATGTGATCATGAAATAAAACAGAGAATGGGGATGGCAAAAGACACATTTCTGAAAATGAAAAAGATCATGACAAATAGTAAAATTTCTATGGAGACAAAGTTAAGAGTTTTGGATTGCTATGTTATACCAGTCCTCATGTATGTATTAGAATGCTGGACAATATCATTAAATATGGAAAAGAGAATTGAGGCAAGTGAGACGTGGTTTTTAAGGTATGTTAGACAAGTCATGCTTCAAATTAAGATATTTTGTTAAGAACAGGCTGCAAGAAGAAGCTGTTGGTTAACATCAGAAAGAGACGGAGTTTCTCAGACACGTTATGAGGAAAGAGGAAATTGAAAGTCTGGTCATAACTGGAAGGATTGAAGGAAAGAGAGATTGTGGAAGTCGGAGGTTGATTTATGTCAAGAGTCTATCTAAATGGATGAATGCATCAACATTGGAAATTCTGTGGGCCTCAAAGAGAAGAGACCTGTGGAAGACAATGATCATCAGTGTCCTGTTTGGATATTGGACCGAGAGAGAGAGAGAAATTAGTACTGTAACTCATGACCCCAGTAACTGTCTGACAATGGTGGATGTGATCATAGAGGTGATCATGAAGCCTTCTTAATGACTGCAGGAAAAAGTTGCTGCAGTTGACAAAGAAATGCAATTTGTAGTCTTGTGCTCAGCAGTGGATGTCCCATTAGGAAAGACCATGAGTCTTTGTGCTTCTGTGATTCCTTAGGATTCTGCCAGAGGAGAATTTAATGTACAACTCAGGCTCCACAAGGCCTCACCAATGGACAGTGGATGAGAGAGATACAGTGAATGTCTCAGGTGCTACCCTCCAGCTGGCAACTTTCTGGACTGCATTGGCCCTACGGAATAATTGGAATTATGAGAATCTTGTGCCATTGCAACTCTATCAGCGTGCATTTCTTATCGTTCAGAATGTCACCAGGAGAAGCTGCCTGTACTTAATAGTAAACAGAGCCTATCAATCCTTTCTTACCAGGATATATTCATTTTGTGAGCAGTCTTTTTTTTCTTTAGCCCTGTTTAATGCCATAACTGTATAAGGTAACATTGGTGACACCAGTGTGCGTTTTGATAGAAAATAAATTAATTACTATCTAAATTTGTGCCTGAGATGACAGGGTATATTTTCAGAACACTTAGTGATGCACAGTGTATATCTGGGCTGCATGTGATTCACTAACGTAATTCCAGTGGGCCCACTGTAATACTGTCTTAAACCACTTCAGTTGAAAAAGATTTGAAAAGCAAAATAGCTTGTAACGCAGATTCATTAATTGCACTTGTGCTTCCATGTACAGTCCAGTTTCCTGCTTGCAGACATGCTGAGATTTTCCAGTCTTATTAGAAAGGATCACATTAGCAGTGGTCTTGTAGTGGGAAAGGAAACTTGCTGGTGGTCTTCAGTTTGAGTTGTGCACCCTACATTGTGTGAAAATTAAAGCCCCACAAATGTTATTGGGATCTGCTCAATCCTTCAAAACTGCATTGAAGATTCACCTCCTAGATAAATCCACTCCCTTCCCCAATTCAGTTTACTGCATTTTCTCACAAACCACACAACCTCAAACATGCACCTTCTTTTGGAAAGGCAGATGAAGAAAAAATGTTTAGCTTGGTGGGATCCTGACTCTGTGGCTCAATCCAGACCATCACTGTTTAGCCAAAATCCAATGCTGATTCAGCAACAGCTGCAAATGACTTTAACTCTGAAGTTTGCATGCCACCCCTTGCTCTCTATGCTTAGAGAGAGAGGCAGAGCCCCAACAGCCATTAAAATATTTCTGTCCAGCCACTACAGTATCTTAATACTTCGATTCTGGCTCAGAAAATCATCTCGCCCATTTGAGATGCATCACATCAATTTTGGTGGGCTGATTTTTAGAGGAGAAGGTGTGTATGCTATGCAAGTAAATACGGTATTGCCATATTCTTTGCCCAAATGCAGAAGGGTACATTTTCAAAATAGTGTGCACAACAATTAAATTCAGACTTCAGAACACCTTTAATGGTCACCATTAATCCACAGTTGTTACTCGGTAGTATCTTACAACCTGTTCTAAGCCCAGGAAAGTAGTATGATACCTCTGACATCCCTGTGTGATAATCGCTGCAGAAAGCCATTGTAAGTCACATATGCTGTAAAATGAGTTCAGCTGATTAATATCTGTACAACTAGACATTTTGCCTGTTTGTTTGATATCTCTCTGGACAATCTGGATTTCCCTGAATTTAGATGAAAATTTCCAATGTAAAGACACATTTTCAGAAATCTTAGTCCTGAAATGTGAAAATTTATAGCTAAGAAATTATATAATATTGCAACACGAATTTTATATTTTAGATCCAGTCAAAGAATATGGGTGTGCTCCATGGCCTGAAATTGAAAATTTAATTAAAAAGTGTCTGAAAGAAAATCCTCAGGAAAGACCAACATCTGTTCAGGTTATTTTTTTATTGTTATTTTTATTTTATTTGTATTTTTAAGTATCTTTGTGTTAGCTTCTATCACAGACTTTCTGTTCAAGAAAAAATGGTGAACTTAAGTTAGTAAACGGTATAGTATTTTCTCTCTCTCTCTCTCTCTCTCTCTCTCTCTCTCTCTCTCTCTCTCTCTCGAATTGACAAGTTTGTGCAACTTTGGCTTTTTCTTGCCTGGACCAATTTTACCATTTGATACACTAATCAGCTGCATTGTTTTCTGTATAGCCATGAAACACCCAAACCTTTTTCTGCTCCTTTACTAGTTAATCATAAATGCTGCAATGTATTAGCCAAGTAGGATTCACACCACATGCAAGTTTCTATTAATGAAAAACAAAGAGAAGTTTAATTAATATTGAGAGTGCAGAGTATTGAGGATGCAGTTAACCTATACCACTCTACAGATTGGAAGTGCTACACTGAAAATAGTATAGATCTGAAGCCTGTGATAGTTTTGTTTTCTGTCTCTGGGCCATCTTGCTTTGTGATAGAATAAAATTTCCAAATATGCCCAAGGTCCACTGACTTCCTTTCTGTAGTTTTACTTACCATGAAAAACAGGAAGGTAGTGGTGCTGCTGCATAATGCCTACATAGAAGTGATCATTATGGGGGGAGCCTTTTGTGCTGGGATCCTACAGACAGTCATATCCATTGTCCCAGTTCAAGTACCTATGAAGCATGCTGAATAAAATGTGCTGATAGTTTTTCCCAGGACCTTCCTGTGTGCATCTGAATTTAATTGTGGCTCACTTAACTACATTACAGTTCATTCCAAGGGCAAGCCTGTCAGGCTGAGTGCTCTCCTTCACCATCTACTGGCAGAAGAACAGCTATGCAGCGTGGGAGAGCTACATGTGTAAAGGGCTGCACCCCTCCTGTTTTGATCTAAGCCAAAACACAATACGATCAAAACAATCTCAAATGAGATGTCTGTTTACAGTCTATGTGCCGAAATACTGTTCGCATAGTTTGTAAAGCTTTTTTTTTATCCTGCAGAATGAAAAGTGCTCTCTATTTATCTCTGTACTGGCTGTTGCTATCTGTGGTGTCTTTTGCAGATTTATGAGATTTTGAATTCAGCAGAGCTTATCTGTTTGATGAGATACATTTCAATACCCCACGTCTCTACAGCAGAGTGCATTGTGGCTGCCAATCAAAGCTGCAAGAATGCAGGGGTCTGGATTGGTAGTGGAAACAGAGAAAATGCACAGCTTTCGATTATTAATTTGAATACAGATGGACACATGCTTGAGGTAGGGGTGAAAGTTGTCATTCATTCCAAACTTGTTTGAATCAATGGGCACAGATTACTTTAGATATTAAATACATTTATTTCAGAGCAAGTTTTACCATCCTTCTTTTCCTGTCATGTCTCTAGCCAACTCTTCTCACAATATTGCCTTGTCACTGCTGGATTTCTCTCTTCCAGTGGACTGGTTGGTTGCTAGTCATTACCCTTTTTGCATGCAGGCTAAAATGAGAATGAATAATCATAAATAATGATAGCCCTTAATATTAACCATTCTCCTGACAAATTAATTTTGTCAAGTTGTCCCTCATCCCAGGAGTCTTTCAGCACCCTAGGATGCACCGACCAGTTGTCTCCATTTTGTTTCTGGAATTCCTATGTCCAGTATTGTCAAAAAAAGTAAAGTTGCAAACTGGACAGTGTTTTTCCAAGTTAGCTTTAAAGTGATGGACATGTATTCTTCTTGTCTGCCTGTGCTGGACATGATTTATCAAAGGGGTTGTTAAAGGAATGATTACTGTGATACAATAAAAAGCAGTGATCTTGGATGATTCAGTCATGGGATATTAGATATACTAGAGCTGGCGACTTTTCTAGGAAAATATTTCCTTCTTTTTCTAAAAATAAAGTGAAAAAACGTAAAGGAAATATTAAGCCAGTACTTCAGTTTCTGACAATTGAACTGTGCCATTGAAAATACACTAAATACAGTTCCATTTATTTTTGTTTTTTTCTTATGGCTTTCAGACGCTCATTGGCTGTAATACATTCAGAGAATTTATGTATTCCCAACATTTAGTTTGCTAAATCCTCCTGGGTCAAACCCTCCTTCTAGCCTTTCTCACAGCACTGAGCAGGCAGCTGGTTCAGCAGAAGGTGTCAACTGGGAATTTCTTTTAGTGTCGGGGTGGAAAAAAGGCTGTCCTTCAGCACCAAGAAAGATTCCACTGTCCTCTGTGTTCAATTTAGTGGTGTGGACCCTTGCTGAAACATAACAAAGATGCTTTTAATAGGGTTTTTTTTCTTGACTCAGAACATTGCAGACAGTAGAATATTAAGTCTGGCCTTGGTGACCCTTCCCACTGAAAAAGAAAACTGGATTGTAGCAGGGACACAGTCTGGTTCCCTGTGGGCAGTCAGCACAGAAGATGAGAAAAGCAGACACTGTCTTCAGAAAATGTCAGATTCTGTTACCTGCCTCTACTGCAACTCTCTTTCCAAGCAAAGGTAGCATTACACATTTAAACACTGCGGGTTAAATTTTGAGAAGTTGACTAAATGGTGTTGTTCACATTTTACTTACAGACCCCTCTGTTATAGAAATAGTTAATGCTTTGCACATATGTTTGCACATCTGGCAGGGTTTGGGTGCGAGTTTTTGGATGTTTTGGGGTGATGTGTTTATTTTTAGTGGGCAGTTAAACACCTGATATGCCAGCCACTTGTGATTCTGTTGTTGTTCAATACATGTCCCTTGTTGAGACTTTTCTGGAAATCCTCATCTCATTTCAGCAAACAGAAGAATTTCTTTCTGGTGGGTACAGCAGATGGCAAACTAGCAGTTTTTGAAGATAAAGCAGTAAAGGTAAAATTAGCATTTCCAGTAATTTTACAAAATGTGTAAAGTAACTGTTTCTAATAGCTTTCTTTCATGTAGCTTATTTTGAAAAAAGATGAAGTTCCATAACCAAAACCCAGTCCCTCATCTAATCTTTTAAGAGCTACAAGTGTCTTAGAAGTTGTATTTTATGGAACAAAGTTTGGTGATGTAATATGTTTCTGTTGTCTCCAATGTCTGAGGGTCAAAAGCAAGAGCAAACAATTGGGAGTGTTAACTGCAAAAACATTTAAAAGCATTTTATTTTACAAGTTCCATTAATGGCTGTGCATTCAAGGACTTAGTTTTGCTATATCTCTTCCTTACTTTTTTGATCAAAGCACATTGGGTCTGTCAGTCAGGCTGTGGCATATCAGGAAAAATGAGCACTATAGATCAGTGGTGCTCAACCATTTTGTCAGGGTGCCAAATGGGCAGTGCCCCATCTGTCCATAGACCAAATCCAGCACCCCATCTGGCCATGTGGAGGTGGGTAGGGGAGCAACTCGGCCCTGATTCACCTGTACATGGGGAAGGGGGCATGGCCTGGCCCTAATTCAGCCACATGGGGGCATGGGAATTTGGCAGCAGGGAGGGTAGCAGTATTAAACTTTAATCCTTGAGCACCCCTTGTTTAGATTATCTTCTAGACCAGAGCTCTGGCATAGTGTTTGGGGCACCACAGCTCCCTGAGTCTGAGGGAAGCCTCAGTCCAGAGGCAATCGGGCAGTAGAGGAGTTATGCTAAGTTGCAAAACTGGCATAGGACCTGTTGTGGGTTCCTCTCAGAGGAGTACTAGTTGAACACAGCCTATCTGTGATATACCTTCCTCCCCTCCCCTCCCCTCCAAGTGCCACAGGGTTTGGCCTTCAGACAAGGCAAGTCTCTACCAGACATTTGTAGTACTGGTGTAGAACAGGGCTCTCCAGCTTCAAAGAGTCTGGGAGCCAAGTGACCCAACAGGAGATGCACACCATGGGGGTAGCACTAGCAGGGGCTCACACCCTCCCTGACTACATGCCCTGCACACATGTGTGCAAGTGGGTGCTCTCCCCACCCACTGTACATGCATGCAGGAAGGCCCTTTCCCACTCCACTGAACCACATGCAAGTGAGCAAGCACTCCTATACGCAGTGCAGCACCCCACCTCAGCTCCCTGCAGGCTCTCCTGTGGCACCAAACCACATAAGCAATTTAGGCTGCCAGCTCCCCCATCACTGCGTGCTGTGCCGTGCCATGCTGTACTGCTCCACCCTCAGGGGTGGGGCACGCAGCAGAAGCTGGAGGAGGGAGAGGTTGCCTCAAGACCCCAGCTGCTGTTGCAGGTGGAGCAATAGGGGTAGCAGCAGCTAAGTGGGAGCCCAGGGGTGACATATTAACCCCTCTCAGGCCACATGTAGCCCACAGGCTGCCAGACAGCACTGGTGTAGAAAATGTGGGCCTATGTATATCCTCCAAATTGTGTTCTGGCTATGTCAGTTTCCAAATTGCCTTGGAGAGCAAGATGCAGTTTGTTCCTAATTGACACTGTGTTTCTTCTTACAGCATAAGGGTGCTACACCTGTGAAGACATTGACCATAGGAAATGTCAACACACCATTGATGTGCCTAAGTGATTCCACATGTTCATCTGAAAAAAATATAATCTGGGGAGGCTGTGGAACAAAAATAATATCATTATCTAATGATTTATCTGTTCAAAAGCTTATTGATACAAAAACAAGTCAACTGTGAGTTGTTTTTTTATAGTGAAGTCACTTTGTTCTCATCCTTGTTTCCTGTCAAGTGTTGTGTTGGAGTGTCCTGCCATGTAGCTTGCTCTTCGTAATTTTCTGTTTTCCTTTCTTTTCCTTCAACAGCAAAGGGCATACAGTCTCTTGTTCAGTAAGATTAGCAGTATTACAATTTCCTCCCCATCACAGATGCATTTGTCCCTGTACTTCACTTGGAGCTACGAATTTTTCCATATATAAGTAGTGTAGTTATGTGGTATGTGTGTACATCTGCTCTCTGTATATAAATTCTGCAATGATTTTTGACTTTTTTGTTAGTTAACAGCTGAAATTTTAGTTTGATGAAGATGCTGAAGGTCTTAGTCATCAAACTGAGACTGAAGTTCTTTGTCCAGTTGCTGTAGACCTCACGCAGGCAAAATTCACCTTTAAGTAAATGGAAATTTTGTCTGAATAAAGCCTATGGTTTTTAGTGTTTTTATATAAATCAAGCTATCTCTGCAAAACAACACGTGTGCATTAAAACATAAGCCAATGTTGTTTGGCCAGTAAGTAAAGCTTGCAGTATGATGCAGCCAAATGTTATGTGCATCTTTTTAGGAATTACTCTAAAATATGTTACCAAAGACTATGAGAATAACAGGCGGAGAACTGTATAAAAGAATTTTTTTATAATAGTAAATGCCAGTGTGACAGGATAGCATCTTATGAGTTATATTTTTGGCAGTGAGCGATTTTGAACAATACTGTAAAATGAGATAGATGTACACCTTGCTGCTAGATGTACACCTTGCTGGGGTCGTTTGACCTCAATACTCTTTCCTGCCGTGGCACGGGGTCGGACTAAATGATCTACTCAGGTCCCTTCCAACCCTAGAAACTATGAAACTATGAGATGGGAAAATCAGTGAGGTAGAGGAGTGATGTTTTTATACTGCAGAGCCACTGCAGTCAGTGTGGCCGTCTCTAGCAGGGTGAATCAGGGTGACCGCCTTGGGCCCTGCACTTTGGGGGGCCCAGCAGAGCCAGGGGGAGCAGCCATGGCAACTCCACACCGCTGCCAGCTTCATGTCTGGCTGTTCAGCTGCACTCTTCTGGGCCTTTATCATCCAGCATGAGAAGAAACTCCTCAATGGAAGCTGAGGGTCCTTACCATCTTGCTGGAGTTCCCCTTTGCAGCTGCTTGAAGGCTCACGGGGAATAGCTGGATCGTTATGCCATCATCACCCGAGTCATAGGTAGAGAAGATGTGTTAACACATATTGGACTCGTTACTGCTTCCGTGGAAATTGGTGGCACAACACCTATTGAATTTGTTGGAAGCAAAAGCATTAAGATTTCTTTTATCTTTGGACCAGTACCCATTTTATAGGATTATTTTTTTTCTTGTTTTAAATGCTTAAATGCTTGGACAACTCTACTGACATGAAATGTTCACATATTACCCTTTAATTTGGACTCAAACCTACTTTGATTTTAGGCTGTAATGGTAGGTGGAGATGCCAGTGACCCCTATCATTAATATACTATATATAGGATAGGAGTATGCTATGCCTAATGCTTACTTTTCTCTTTCCTAGATTCTGTCATAAAGATTACAGTGATGCAAACATTATTTCAATTGCAGTAGACAAGTCCATCTACTTGGCTAAGAAAAACAGCCATTTTGTGGAAGTTTGGGATAAGAAAACAGAGAAACTTTGTGAACTAATTGATTGTGCACATTTTCTCAAGTAAATACTTTATTTTATTCTGGGTGGTGTGGTGTCTAATAAGTGAATAATGGGGTCTGCTGGTAGATTTTACTTAGAACACATCATATTTTGGAGGTAGGAAAGGAAAATGATAAGATTAGCCATGTCTTTTCCTTCTCTGACACAGAACGTTAGTTATTTCACAAAGCCTAGCTCGTCTCACAACAGAGCTGTTGCAAGTGGGTACCATATGTGTCCTTTTCATTCTCAGGCTGATGTGAGCAGCTGCACCAGTGTCATCCTTAACTGTAGAAGAATTCCATGGGGGATTTACATATATATATAGTTCTGGGAGACAAAGGGAAAGGAGAGCTTCCTGTGTCCAATTTAAAGGCAATCTCAGATTGTTACCTGGTGGATCTTAAAGCTTCAGTTCCTTCTTGCCAGAATTGTATAATTTCAATGGTTATTTGGTTTGTGCAGCCTTTATTGACAAAAGATTTATGCAGCCTGTGTTGACAAAAGATTGTTTAAAAACTTGTCATGTAAAATAATACTCATGTCTGCCACAGATTTATAATGCAAAATCTCTTCATATTTTTAGGGAGACAGTGGTGAAACTCGATAACGAATCAAAACACAGAGTGGCTTATTCTGGAAGAGTAAAGACCATTTGCTTACAAAAAAATACTGCCCTTTGGATAGGGACAGGAGGAGGGCATATCGTGCTGCTTGATCTGTCAACGCGGCGTCCCATCCAAATAATACAGAATTGTTGTGACTCTGTTAGAGTCATGCTGACAGCCCAGCTAGGTAAGTTTTATTGTCAAAAGGAACTGAACTTTCAGCGCAAAGCTAGGGCTATATTCATTCCTAACTGACATGGGATGACGTAAACTAATTTTATTTTCCATCTTTTTCATTCACTTTACTCCACTGTTTGCCTGTTTAATCTAATCAATGCCAATATTCTTATATTAATAAAGTCCCAGATGACTGCAGTGCTGGTGGTCAGACACAACAGCAGCAATTCCCAGCATCTTTCAAGAAAATCCTTGATTATGACTGGCTAACACATGAGCCTGTCTCTCCCCAAGTCCCTTTGGGTTGTGATGCAATGAGTGCATTTTTTTTTGGTTTTCTTTCTCCTGCTCTGTCTGCCTTTCTTCTCATGTGTTGCATTCAAGTTTCAAATAATTGTTTTTATTTGCTTTTCCTGTGGCTTTTCTCTGGCCTCCACCCAGCAGAGTCCATTGGTGTATCCATAGAACAGCTTGCAGCTTAGCTATGTAGAAGTGGAGTAAGAGATAGAAGTTAGTGGACTACTAGCTGAGTATTATACATATGAACTGCCGCTGAAGCCACAGTCAGTGCTGTTACGGGCAGCTGTGGGTGCAGGGCCTGAAAAAGAGGTTTGTAAAGAGTTACTGCTGCTTCATACCCAGCCACAGGACCATGTTTGCCTAAGGGGCAAATCTGAAGTACTGTTACTTTCTTCAACTTGTTTTTTATATGATCCCAAACTAATCAACCCGCCCCCACTGTGGTATACCACGCTCTATGCAGGGGTAGCTACTTTAAACATTAATGTCATAACACTACCCTGGGGACTAAATCCTGTACTGCAGCTCCAGAGTTCTGCATTAGTGTGATTAAAAAAGGTGTTCACAATCAAGAAAAAAACCTGACGTCGTATGTTACTGAATCTCATCATCTCAAACTATGGATTTTTTTTTCACTGCCATCAGTGTACATGTAACCCAGGATGTGCAAATATACCTGATTTCCTCTGCAGCCCCAGCTCTAATAAATGTTCTTCAGTGCAGCCTACCTAGTAAAGCAGCTGATGAGGATACATGAAGCAAAATAAGTTTCCACTAACTCTAATTTCACTTCAGCAGATATTGACTCTGCAGCACTGCAAGCAATTAAACAAGGTTTAGTTCAATAAAGGAGGTAGAGAGTATATGAGGTGGGTGGGGAAAAGCAGACAGTTTTCTAAGGTTGTTTTTCTGACTGTAGCTGCAGTTATACAGGTAAAGGGGCTAGCACAGCCTCTGGGCTGCACAGAGGCCTGTTTTATCCATTTGCAGGACTTGGGTTTACAAGAGCAAATGTAGGGAGTCAGTTTTCGAATATTAATCTTGTTTGTGTTTTTTTAATCTGGATTGTAAAATTCCAAGTTCCAGGCAGCTGAATGTTACAAATAGACGTAGGTAAACATTCTGCGTATAAAAAACAGTGAACTAAAATAAAGAGCTATTTTTTGCGTGCTGATGTAATGTACTTAGTTTTGTAAATTTAAAGAACTTTGGGAAACTTTGGGTGATTCAAGGAGAATGTGTACTGGGGCTCCCAAGCCTCCCAGAACTGTAACTTAGGCAGTAAACCACAATCTAGCCTGGATCTGCCCTGTAAAACACACAGGGCCAAAGCCTGCCCTTACCTGCACTCATAAAACATTGACATGTTTTCAGTGTAATTTCTTCTTAATCCAGTAGGACTAGTTGATTGGAAATGAGGGTGATACTTTGTAACAGGTTATTAGCCTTTGATCCCTGATAAACCCCTCACATTAAATGGAGGTGAAGATTGTGTCTTTATCAAGGTGACTGATTAAAGATAATGGGGCTGGTTCTTCTTTGAGTGGCAGTATTACATTTTTATTTTTCTAATGACTCTGGCTGATATCCAGGTTCAGTTCCCAGACACGCATATAACTACATCTATCAAGACACTGAATGTCCAACTCAGTCTGGCTTTTAGATATTGTCTCAATGGTCTAAAGGGGGAATGAAAGATCTGGGCAGCCTCCACTCCTCCATAATCCTAGGCATATGCGTTGAAGGTCCTAAGGACCTCTCATGCATATACCATGATCCAGAAGGATTTACGGTTGCCTACTGCTCCTAATGGAACACTGTATTATTCATACTATTTTACAGAACTAATACGAGTTTTACTAGATTAGAAGTAAAGCAGAAATGTAAGTTCTAGTTAAAAATTAAAATGTTTTATTTTTAAAAGGGAACCTCAAGAATGTTGTGCTGGTATTGGGTTACTGCTATAAAGGTAATAAAGAAGTCAACAAATATCCAAAAGGTATGAGCAACTTTGTTTTAATAACCCCTATTATTTATGTAATAGAAAATACTTGGTTACATTTTAAAATGTCTCCTAGAAGATTTGTTTACATCTTCTTTTTATGAATTTTCATTGCTGCCTTGTTCTGATTTATTATATATTGTGGTCCATATGTTTCTAGAGTTTTTCCAGACTAATTCTATAAAAATGGCAAGGGCACTGGTATAAAATGAAATGTCATGATTGTTTTTTATAAACCATTGTTAAAAATTCTAACTATGTACCAGAACTTCTTTTGAAGACCCTCAATTTGATTATTTGTGCAGTAAAAGCTTTTGTAAAAATCCTTTCCTATTTTATTTTATTTAAAAATATTCACATGTATACATTCTGTAATTTAGATTTTTATAGGCCTTATCCTACAGTCCTTACTCATGCAAACAGGCCGTATTCCACTGAAACTATCATGAATACTCCAGAGAATAAGCACTGCTGGCAAAGTAGAGGTTGAAGTATTTAGCTTGTATCCAGTACAGTATGTGTCCCAGAAAACATGGAATTAAAATCAGATTTAATTTCGCCTAATGGCAGGTTCTCCTTCCTAGGTTGTGAGGGGAAGCAACGCCTTTATCATGTTTTCCAGCTGGAAAGCATAGCAGTGACAAACTGTAGTGATTTTTGTACAACTGCAGCTAGGGTCTGGGGAGGGGGACTTCATGTCCACACCTGTAACACTATTTTTGTAGCTCATCGAAGCATTGCAATGCTTGTAGCACTCCAAGCCTGCAAACAGACATCACCCTCGCACCTGTCATACAAAAATGCCCAAATTTTGTGATGATGACAACCCTAGTCATGGTTTATGCTGCCTTTGTGTAGCCCGCATTTATTTCCTTATGTTGGGAGACCACAGGCAGGCTGTGACTGCCCATGCTTTCCAGTTGCCCCAGGCAGAAACTCTCAGGGCTTCAGGGGCCCAGTGTTGCAAGACAGCAGTCCCAGGTGACTCAGCCCAACACAGGGTGTATGTCTGCAAGCAGGGAATTTCCTTCTCTTGCAATTACACACCCCATTTTCCTGAAGTATCAGCAGGGGCCGGACCTTGTGGGACAAGAGCCCCAGTGACATCTGTAGACATCAGTGAAGTGGATCAGTTGTGCCAGGACACATGGCAAAGCTGATCCCACACCAAAGATGTCATCTGTTTTCAGCCCTGGTGTACTGTCTGTCCATAGCCTGGGTCATCTACAGTTTTCACTCTAAGAATTCAGTTCTGTAAGGTGCAAGTACCCTTGATCCCTGTGGAGAGCACTCAGTGCCCCTCAAGATTGAACCCTTAACAATGGCATGTTTTCTAAGAGCATTTTATATTTCTATTTGTGTTCTTCCTAACAGTAATTAACAATAAGCAGAAAACCACCTGTAAACTGCAATTGCGCTCTTCTGTGTAGCACTATTTAAAATGTTTTTTAAATTATTTTTTACAGAAGTGCAGTCATGCTTATCTGTGTGGGATATTAACTTGCCACATGAAGTACAAAACTTGAAAAAGCATATAGAAATGAGACAGGAATTAGCAGAAAAAATGAGAAGTTTTTCTTTGGATTAAAGACTCCAAGGCAAGAGACGTCTTATCTCCAGATTTTCCATCATTTTAACTTTAACACACAAGTGACTTTTTGTGTTTTATTTTCTTACCTTCAGAGAATGATTTTCATCCCCACCAAAATCATGAACTAGTAGAAGAAAGAAGTAAAATCTCTTCAGAATCTCAGCATTAGATGTGTGTACCTCCTAGGCAAGTAGTGCTGGTTTAAATTGAGCTCCCCTAGCCTATTTCTAATCTAATCTAATCTAATCAGAAGGATTTCTCTTGGGCTGGGTGCTGTATATAAAGAGTAACTCTACTGAGTGGTTCTAAATAAGAGTAAAAATGTAAGCCTCAGTCTATTTATGGCCACTTGCATATATGAACATTTTTCATGGATCCTGTTTTTTGTGGTACTGTGCTAGAAGGACAAGATGAACCTGTAATCTGACCCAGTATGGCATGTTTTATATTGTCATGTTTTGTTGTACTCATATTTAGTATTCTTGATTAAGTGGAGGAAAATATTTTATATTATATAGTAGCAGTACAACCAATTAGAGGAACATTCACTTACTGTACAACAGTTTTAAACAGCAGACTGAATAGGTCAGACCTTTTCTCTTCCTGTATGTATCGGCAATTTGGTAATTTTCAGTCTGTTCAAAAAAGATTTTGTGCTGAAGGACCTGAAATATTGCCTTGAAATTCTGAATGAAAATGTATTGATAGACTTCGACAAGAATAGTGCCTCCTTGCAGTACTACACAGTATCTGGTTTCAGGCTGCACAGTCTCATTCATATAAAGTATGCCATTGCAGAAAATATTCACACACCAGTGATTATACAGTTTGCCAACTTAGCTAAGCAGACACAGGGTTATAATGCCTGACCTGAATGTTGCCTCAAGAAATACACAAAGAATGGCTGATGCTTTTAAGGTAACCATCCAGTCAGATGCAAGGTAACCATGGAGTAGTCATGCAGTAAAACTATGCAGTTTGCTTGTCTCAATCTGAAAAAAATGGAAACTAAAGGATTGTTACAGTGCCTGCATAGTTAACCATTCAGCCGTATTTTGAGCACCTTATATCTATATTTTTGTGGTATGCAATAGAAGCTGGAGGCATTTAAAAATGGGCTCCTTCTTGCCTTGCATAGCCCCACTGGGCAGCTGTACCCAGGCATATTCAATTAGAAGATAACATTTTATTGTTCTACATCTATTAACTTAGTCTTCTGTTATCCTGCACTAAGTGCCTTATTTCTGTCAGTCGCACAACAGGCAGATGCTTTTCTCTCTCCTTGAAACCAAGTGCATCATCTCTGTAGCAACCCAAAATCCCAGGGAGTAACAAACCCAAAGCCATTCCTGTATTTGTCTCCTATGGAGCCAAATAGAGTGTCGCCACCAAACAAGTTCTCTCCTCCAGCGTTTTTCATTTTAAATTATTCCTATACTAGGGCAATAAGGTTCCCTGGACTTTCTCCAAACGTATCAGTATTTAACTATCTGCAATTTGATAAGGACATACTCAGGGTACCTTTCATATATACACCCTGTTTTCATTGTGATCTTATATTATGTATATTGAGAATAATTTGTTATTTATATGATATGTTATAACTCGAAGTGTATATTGTTATAATGAAAAATAAAGGTTTTTAAAATATCAAGAGAATATTTCACATGTTGAAATTGTTCATGATCATGCCAAGGTGTAAGCTTTATAGTTGTTTATTAAATCCTATTTTGTTGTTCTGTTACATATTCTCCTAGTCATAGTTCCAACAGCATGCTTTATTTCATAGTATTTCTGTTGAAATCAAGCCTAACCACTTACATACTAAGTATTTTGTTCAAAAGCCAACAGAGCAAGTGAAAGCAGAAGTTAGCAAATCAGTCAGTGTGGCAGTTTTTTCTATTATTGAGCTTTCACTATTTAAAAAATATAAACCTCCTAATGGTGGTATCCCAGTATGGCAAAGTAGAAGGCAAAGCCTTCAGGGCTAGAGAAGACATATTGAGTAAAGCAAGACTGAAACCAAACCACCTCTCAGAGGATTTGCGGAACACGGTTCCTGTAACAAGAGACTCAAAATAAACCAAGGTGGAGGTTCTCATTTTCTACCACATGACATAGTGCTTATGACTGTCCTCTCACTTCTGTCCTAGTGAGTTCAGCATATTACTGAAAGAATCATGAGAGGTAGTTAGCCATGTTAGTCTCAAAGTCAGACAGAAGGCAGGGTAGAGATGTACCTTAAAGACTAACTGAATCAGAGATGCATGAGCTCTTGCTTACAAAAGTGAATGCATCTCTATTTCAGTTAGTCTATAAGGTACATCTCTACACTGCCTTCTGAGAAAATGTCATGAGGAACAAGTTGTAAAACACAAACTACTGTCCTGAACAGCAGAAAGTCTTCCTGGAGAAGTGGGGAAATAGTGGCCCATAATGGCTTCAAATATAACTTTGCCAGGGCATGGAGGGTAACCAGCATTCTTTAGCAAGTGTACAAGATCAAGTGAGGAGAGTGCAAAGATGAGGCTTCCTGAATATCTGCTGTGGAACTGAAGTGTCCTTTCCAAGCTGCAGTTCTCCAACCATGAGAAGAATGCTATTTCCATATCAGAATGCTTTCAATCCCAACTATTCCCAGGTCAGATTTCACATCACCATGAGCTTTGTGCAGTGCATACCACCCTCTGGCAGGCTGAAGACCCACTGGGTAAAGCATTTTTATATACCACATTTATGAGCAAAATGGAATGTCTGGATTTATGAGTTGTCAAAAAAGAACATAATAAAGGACAATAGAAGAAAGAGGTACTGAGCAGCAGACCATGGTCATGTTATATAAACTCATTTTCTCAAACTTCACTGAAAGTGTTTGTGAAAATAAAGCAAGCAGGATATGGCTATTATCTAGTACTAGGGCCACCCTTATACAGCAGACCACTCATAATTGTAATTTATTTGGAATATCTATAAGCAACACTCAGCCACGAGGACCATGCTGTGCCAGACATGGTACAAGCACAAAATGAAAGATGGTCCCTGCCCAAACAGCCTGTTTGCTGCGATAGGGATTCAAGTACTGTGATTTATGTAATCACTTCATTAAAGCTGTGTTTTAAAAATATCTCCAGCAAAATCATTCTGGGTACCGGAGGCATTCCAGAAAGGGACATTCTGTTCAGAAGGACCCAAATACTCATCCACTGCATATTGACTTTTCTTATTTGTCCCCCTCTAAGCTATAGTTTTGAATTGCCTGTTGATTTCTCACAAATGTCATGGAGCTAATTCATTTACACATTCATTGACATTGGTTTCTGAAACAACCCAGTATTTCCAGGTTAAGGAGATTGTTAAAAATATCCAGGAGAGGTTATATTAGGAAGATTTATCTTTGTAATGAGTAGCTGGTACCTTATAGAAAACTTTGAGAACATTCTACTTGGAAATAATCCTATTTCTTGAAGATGCTTTCTGGGATTTTCTTCCCTTCTGGCTCAGTTTTACTTCTGCTAACATCAGTGGAAGCAGGAGTGGGCCCTTTATTGATAAGGATATTGGTAATAGGAAAGTAACCATGATTTAAAAAGCACTTTGCAAAACCATCTTTAGGAAAGAAGATTAATTTCTTTTTTGTTTCAGAACATCATATACAATTAAGAGGGCTAAGTGGGGATTGCCTGTAGACACACAAGTGTCTGTAGACACACTTACTTGATAAAAGGAGAGTTGGATTCAGCCTTTAACTCCATTTGCTTAAACTTCTCAACTGTTTAAAACCTTTCCTTTATATTGCAGTTGCTGAAGCAAAGTCAAGCAGTGACTCAGGTGTGCTCGCTTCAGTGTTGCTATTTCACAAGGGAACCGTTTGATGAAAGTCTTTGGCTTATTGGATGTCCTTCTCATTTTCAGCATAACGGTTGTCATTAAGTTATTTGCAGGACTGTAGTCATTGATTCACACCACGCACAGCCCAAACCATGACATTTAAGAATTATTGTTTTTCAGTGAGTAAAACTGGAACATTTATAACAAACTGCTCATTGGCTCTGCCAGCATGCTACAGAGAGTTAATTAGCAAATAGGAGTTACAGAAAAGAACTAAAACAGCCAAATAAAAACAAGGGACTATATTATCCTATTTGAATGTGCAACTGAAGAGTGGTTCATTATATACTCAGTAAATAAATGTATAAATAACAGATATGAAACTTAGATGCAAGATGATAAACTTAAACTGCTTTTCTCAGATAAATTAAAAATGAATATGGGAAGGTAAAAAACCGTGTTAAAGATTTATTGGAATATTACCTTTTTTTTTTTCTCTCCATAGAAGTAAAATCAAAGGAGAGCTGTATTGATTTATATGGTCTTCTCTGAAAGATAGACAAGAGCTGTTTTTATTTCTTTTGCTTGGGAAGCCTTGGGAGTTATTAGTTCTATCTTATGGATTCCAGAAGACGATCAATCTCCGAATGAAAAAGCATGTTAATAATTCTGGTTCAGGCTGATTCTATATGTAATATGGTTTACAATTCAGAAAGAAAACACTATGAATAGATGCGACAGCCAGATAGAGATCATGAGGAGGAAATATTGTGTGCTGTGGGAAAACAGAAGTTAGAGAAGGTTACATTCAAATATACAATGCCTAAAAAAGTCATTCTAATAATAAAAGGTGGTGAAATCCTGGCCCCACTGAAGGCAATGAAAATCTCCCAATGACTATAGGATATCACTCTTGAAGCATAAATAAAGGGATAAAAATATATTCCCAAGCTTGAAAGAGAATAGAGAAAGATTTAGGTGACATGTCGAAAGGTTTTTTCCTTTAACCATTGCATCCAAATACATATGAAGTAGATTACTGGATTTAATGGCTAGGTCGGAGATACCTGAAATCAGCTTAATTCAAAGTAAAAGTAAGACTTTGAGTTGGTTAAATATCCTGTACGAGTATGTTGAAAGGCAGCAGTTCCATCTGTGACACAGGGTGGGACAGAGCTTTAGGGCTTCTGTTTGGTGGATTGAAGCAAACAGCTCCACATAATGTAGCCCTTTCCTTGCCCTCCTTTGCACTGTCAGCAAGGCTGAAATCATGTCTAAATAACCTGTGGATGTCTAGTGACTGGTGACAGGGTCCTCCTGATGGATGACATTCAACTCTGGAACCTGCTTACCCTATTCATTTGACAGAAACTCATTCCTTGGCTTTCGCTGCCTGATTTAAAGGCGTCCATTGTCTTGATACTGTGTCTTGCTAGACACTTGGTGGTAGTGAATAAGAGAGAGAGCCACCCTGGATCTTACTAATGGGACCCCAGACTGTATATCCCCTCTCTGGCAATGGCCTGCACCAGAAGGAAGTCTAACAAATGGCCATTTGTATAATAATCTACCTGTGGGGAAAGGTTCATCCTAAACTCCAGGGTGCTTTCCATGTGAGGACTATATTATTTTGAGCTCAAATGGTCTTGCTAAGTAACTATAGCACTTTTTTTCCGGAAACAGCTCAGTGTTCCTATGCTAGCCAAGCTGGTTCTCGTAACCTGATTCAGTTTGTCCACACACAGTAATCCTTCTGTCCCTTCTGCTCCTGTGCAGAAGTGCCACAATGCTAGGTCAGTTCCCTGCAGCAGGTGCTTCTACAGCAGCATATTACAGGTTGTTAATGCTATATTTTCACATATAATGAAAACATGTGATTCATGCCTGGGATTTTGAAATGAGCCTAACGGTGTGTACAGACATTCAGGAGGCAGTGTAACTGGTGCTTCATATAAAAGCACCATGGAGTGCCACTGAACCCAGCAGGTGGAGGCACTCAGCAGACTCCCAGGAGGCTGCCAGTCCACTCCTTTCCCCAGCCCTGCCTCCCTTGCCAGCTGGCAACTGTCACATCCATGATTCAGTAACTAACTGCTGACCTTCTTTCCAGCCTTGGTAAATCTCATGTTTCCCAGCTTAGCTCCATGTTGTTCTAAACACTGGTACAGAGACAATTTTCCTGGCTCTTCCCATCAATGGTATGATCATCTCTCTTTCCATTCCTTCACCTGGGTCCCCCTTTCTCTACTGTATCCGAAATTAACTACTTGCCTTTGCTGTCAGGCTTCTCCCTGACCTGGCCTTACTCTGCCCATCATCATTCATGCCCTCTTGCAATGTCAGCTCCTGATGTGTGCAGGATGACAGTTGCCGTCTCCCACTCGTTACATTTTCACTCGCATCATCATTTCTTTTCTTCCATCCTGTTCCTCATACGTGGGAGGAACTCCACATCCCCTTCATCCCCTTGTTCTCCTCCTTTAAAACTCTCCACTCCTGTGATGCCTGAGCCATCTCTGCAGGAGCTGACTAGCTGCTGTGCCACGATCATCACTTCCTATACTGAAACTGGTTTCTTTGTGCAGTTCTATGTCAATTGTACCCATCTGTTGTCCCTTTTTTGTTCTTGGATTATAATCTAGGTGTAAATATCAGCCCCTCTGGGCAAAAACTGTCCTTTTGTTCTGCATCTGTGTAACACTTAGCAAAATAGTTTGTCTGTGGTTTATTGTGGTAGCACTTAAAGCAGTGATTCTCAACCAGGGTGCTATGGCATCCTGGGGTGAAACCACATCTTTTGAAGGGTGTGAGGAGATAAGCAGATAAGCGCAGGCTCAGGCTTGTCCCTGCGTAGACAGTCTT